TATTTCGTAACCAATTTCTATGGCTATATGCCCTTTTTCCCTACTTGACCCCAAAAAATGTCAATGATTCATTTTTTTTCTAGAAGCTTCTCCCTCGAATTCCCCTTCTTTTTCCCCACTTATCTCCACTTTAAATCTTACATCATAACCCGAATTTTCACTGTTTTAACCTTGAAAATTGGAGGAAAAACATGAAACAAAAAATATGACACATCATCTGGAAATTTTCAGAAAATAAAAGTGAAAACAAGAAGACGTGGAAGCGGAGACGTTCTTTTCATTTTATTTTCATATGCCTATAAAACTGTTTCAAAAGTTTTCAATGTGTCTGAAAATTTTGCAGTATATTAAAAAAAGAGCTTCATTTTTGTAATTGACAACTTTTTTGAGCAAACGCTCCCTAGCGAGATATGCCTGCTTTTCTTGGGACCCTCTCCTTGCTGCCATGACACCTGATAGCTGCCGGGGGTCCTAGGAAAAGCAGGCGTATCTCATTAGGGCGCGTTTGCACAGAAAACTTGTCAACTGCAAAAATAAAGCTCTAGTTTTGTTTAGTACACTTTGAAATTTTCAGACAAATCGGGAAAGCTTTAACTGGTTTTTCGGAGCCTCAAGTTGATCAGTTTTGTCTAACAAATTTCTGAAACCTCCTGTTATGTTTGTCTGTCTGTCCCGATATCTCTCAGACAAATTCTTCCCGGTTTTCTCTCAAAATGACCACACACACACACATTCCTTTCTTTTCTCTCATCATTTTCATAATAGCAATGTTCTTCTTCTTCTTCTTTCTGGAAATTTCCAGTTCTCTGTAATTATAGACCACTTTTTTTGTTGTCTCGAAAAACTGTTACATCAGAATGTGTGACCGATTCTAGGTTTTTGAATTTTGTCCCAAAATTTTAAACCTAGAATAGGTAACCTAGAAGATAGCAAAAAAGCACAGCCTGGAAATGAATGACGGAAAATTTTGAACTGCCTTGAAACCTAATCCCCCCGAGCTCGTTCATACTAGGCTGCGCAGTTGGCTACGCTGGCTGTGATACCCTTTCTTTTTAACCGAAATTAACTTGCTTCCTGTAAACGATGTCAAAAATTGTTAACTGATAAATCGTTTAACATAACTTGATAAACATTTTATCAATTGGCCACTTTTTGATATCTGTCGCACGTACCCAGATAAATTGAATCAAAGTTAAGTCTTCAATTCTCCCTAACAATGTTGCATTTTCCGCTACTTCCTACTTTCATCTTCTTACGATTCTTCTCTATTTTTTTGTTAAAGTGTAAAACTTTTATACGTTCGATTTTTTTTGGTTTCCATCAAAGTTTCCCAGCTAGGAGATGACGTAACTGACTTTAGACCGAATCAAATGAAAATGTAAAGACGAAAAAAAGAAAGAAGTGAAAGGAAAACGGAGAATGTTACAAGATAGTAAAATCGTTATAAGAAAGTGTACGGAGGAATAATAGGATTTTGATTTTAGACATCTGGAATTCTAGACACACAGATAGACGAAATTTGGCAACCAACCAAAAAAACGGAAAGTTAGATGTACCATAAAACGCTACGCTGCGTCCTTGAACTTCAAGCTCAATTATCTCGGTTCCTATAAAATGTAACAAAAAGCTGTCTACTGATAAAATATTTTTGCCATTATGATAAATATTTTGTTAGTTGACAACTTTTTGATATCTCTTAAAGGTGGGGGGACTCTTATTTTTTGACCTAAATTATTTCGTTTGCTGTAAAAGATATCAAAAAGCTGTCAACTGATAAAATGTTTATTGTAATATCAGTAACATTTTATCAGTTGACAAGTTTTCAATATCTCTTACAGTAACCGAGATAAATTGGGTCAAAGTGCGCGCTGCTACTGAGCTACGCGGTGGGGACCGCTGGATGTGCCACTCTTATTTTTTGACCTAAATTATTTCGTTTGCTGTAAAAGATATCAAAAAGATGTCAACTGATAAAATGTTCGTCATAATATCACCAACATTTTATTAATTGACAGATTTTTGATACCTTTTATGGGAGCCGAGATAATTGGCCCCAACTTCCTTGTTCTTCTCATTGAACTGTTTATCGGTCAGCTTGCATCTCGGTCCAAAATTTTTTTAGTGTATTTTCTTAAACCAGCTGTTTCCATATTTTTCCCACATTCGCTACCTCAAATTCCGCTAAATTCCACCACCCGAAATGTCGAAAATCCGGCGGTGTCGGCAAAGATTCCAATCTCTCTCTTTTTTTCGTTTTTCCCGTATTTTCCCAGCAAAAACAATATCTGAGGAATATCTACATAAAAGATTTGTATCTCGAAAAATGTTGAAAATCTCTTTTCTCTTTTTCGTAGATTCTTATGTAGCTGTGTCAGCCGAAAACAGGAAATTTTTTGAGGTGAAATTTGTGTAGATTGACATTCTTGAGTTTCAGTTCTGGAAATTTCTGAAACATCTATATCTGAAATTTGAGAATTCCTTCTAGAAAAAGTAAAAAAAACCGCAAATTTTACTACAAGAACTTCCAGTTTTTCCCTCTAAAGTCATTGTTCTCTTTTCTTCTTTCATTCCCCCTTTCAATTCCTCCGCCCATTTTCACACCCTCTTTAACTTTTATCACCACTTGTTCATTATTTCTATACAGTTCCTTTTATTCGAAAATTGAAATCAGTTTCCTCTGTGCCTCTTCACTCTCTGTCTCTCTCTCTCTCTCTCTCTCTCTCTCTCTCTCTCTCTCTCTCTCTCTCTCTCTCTCTCTCTCTCTCTCTCTCTCTCTTTCGAAAGAGTAGAGTTTGGTATATCGAAATGTCAATGATTTAAGCTTCCAGCCCTGTTTGTCTGTTTATCCAGATTTTCGTAGTTAGTGCATTGTTGTATTTAATATTATTTTGTAGATCTTGTTAAGCTCTACATTTTACTTTTTGTTCTGCACAAAAATTCCAATTTTGAGCTGAGTTATACACCAGAGAGTGATGGGCACGACTTGACCAGCCTGAATTTTGTGCGAACCTTTCCACTTCAATCTGGCGCATCTTTTCTAGATAAGATTTCACAAAAATGTTGTCAACTACAAAAATGAAGCTCTTGATTTGTTTAGTATACTCTGAAGTTTTCTGGCAAATCGGAAAGATATTACGCTATTTATCATGGGGTCGAAATTGGCCAGCGGCTTATGTGTCTAGTTCCATGTGTCTACCTCTAATCCTTCTAATTTGCCTCATTTCTAAACATGAACTATGAATTTTATAAAGTCAGATTATCTTTTTGAAAAATAATTTTCAAGCACAGTACTGTACAGTTCTATTCAAATTCGTTTCTCTGCGTCTCTCCCCTCTCTCTGCCTCAAGTTCTGTGCATAATGTCACTTCTCGGCCCTCTCTCTTCCACCGGATAATCCGTTTCAAGAGGTGTATGTGCAGTCAGCAAAATGTGTAAATAATAAGCATATACAAGCACAGAGAAACAACGCAACAACTTTTGCGCGCACGCCTTTTGTTTTGACTCGGCTGAAGAGACAGTTTGCCACCTTTTCCTACCCGAGCATGAGCGGATTTTTCGAATTTTTATGGGATTGCTTTTGAAATTTTGCCAGTCTACTAAGGTACAGTATACCTCTTTTGGCTAGTAGTCAGTTTTTCCAAAATTCCTGATTTGGAAGGTGTTTTTGGACCAATTTTTAGTACAGTACCGCTTTCAACAAGTAGTCGATTTTCTAAACGTTCTATTACCGTAAAACCTGTATTAGAAGGGACGGCCCTTCTATTGTTCCAAGGTACCTCCGGAGGACCCTTCTATTACAGGGGGCCCTTCTATTACAAAGGGCCTTTCTATTTTTCCAAACCGCTCTCGGAGTGCCCTTCTATTAGAGGATCTCTTCTTTTAAAGGGGTCATTCTAATACAGGTTTAACGGTATTTTGGATTAAATGAACAATTTTTTAGATTATTTCAAATTTTTACCTTTTTGAATAGTTTGGGAACTTCACTGAATTCAGAATTTAAGGATTTTCTTTCAGATAATTAAAAATGTGTGGATTTTGAATTTTCTGGATTCTCAGTTTTTGGAACCTTCTTGTAATTTTCTTCTGACGTCTCCATTGTAGTCGTCAGTGTCGTATGAAGTTCCGTTGAATCGTCCATATCCTCTTGAGAGTCGTCTTCGATTGTCGCTTTTGAGAAATTAAAAACTCCTCCGTCCAATTGAGTTATTGGCGAGAATACTGACGTCTTCTGGATTGATTTTTCAGAATAATTTTAGAATTTCTGCATTTTTGGATCTCTAAAATTCGAATTTGTTATATCAGAACTTTCAAACTTTCTGAATTTCTGAATTTCTGAATTTTTGAATTTCTGAATTTCTGAATTTCTGAATTTCTGAATTTCTGAAATTCTGAAATTCTGAATTTCTGAATTTCTGAATTTCCGAATTTCTGAATTTCTGAATTTCTGAATTTCTGAATTTCTGAATTTCTGAATTTCTGAATTTCTGAATTTCTGAATTTCTGAATTTCTGAATTTCTGAATTTCTGAATTTCTGAATTTCTGAATTTCTGAATTTCTGAATTTCTGAATTTCTGAATTTCTGAATTTCTGAATTTCTGAATTTCTGAATTTCTGAATTTCTGAATTTCTGAATTTCTGAATTTCTGAATTTCTGAATTTCTGAATTTCTGACCATTCTTTTCCTTTTTTTCAATATTTTTGCAGATAACAAATACCCTGATTTTTGATACGCTTATCACTTTTTATCATTTTCTTCGAAAATCACTATCTATTCTTTTAATAATACATCTACATCCATTTTTTGGGGTCAAACTGGGGAAAAATTCGGAGAGCGTGACCAAAATTTTTTGTCTAGTTTTTGATATGATAAGATTCTTTTTTTGCTTTTTTTTGCTAATTTGAACATTTTAATTAGCCGCCAATTAGATTTAATTTGAGTGTCTTGATCTCTGAAATTCGTTAAATAATTCAAAGTTTCGAAAAAAAAAATTTTTCAGCGATGCGTCTACGATACCTAGCGATCAGTTTATTGATTTCACTAGCAGCGATAAGTGAGTTAAATTAATTTTTTTTTTTTAAGTTTTCAGAGATTTTCAGACAAGTTAAGGAGTTTTTGGAAAAATTCTAGATTTCCAAACTTACCAAATTTTTTTGAAATTTTCAGAATGCCACGCACAAGACGAGAATTCAGAAGATGTGTTCGACAAACCACTCTCTAAAGATCAGACGACACCGTCTGGCACGCTGCCAGATGATTTTCCATTGGCTGTGCCGCAGGAGGAGTTGATGAATGAGGGGTGAGCAATGTTTTAGAAATTCAGAAATTCAGAAATTCAGAATAGCAACAATTTTTTGAAGTTTTCGAATAAACGAGATTTGGAAATTCAGAAATTGAGATATTTCGAAATTTGAAAATCTAAAAACTTCCAGATCGGATACCTTCGAAACGAGTACCGAAATGATTGAAATCTCGTCAAACGACACTTCTCTTGAAGTGAATCCCATCCAGAAGACGTCAGTATTCTCGCCAATAACCCAATTGGACGGAGGAGTTTTCAACTTCTCAAAAGCGACAATCGAAGACGACTCTCAAGAGGATATGGACGATTCAACGGAATTTCATACGACACTGACGACTACAATGGAGACGTCAACGGATTCGGAGTCTTCTGATGACTCTACGACGACGACTACTCCAATTGATGTTATCACATTCAGTTCACTTCCAATTGAACGGGATGAAGTGGCTGATCGACGGGTTTTAAAGGAGAAGGAAATGGCAACGGCGACTAGATTGGGTAAGGGGGACATCTGGAAACACAGATGGACCAAATCCATCAAAAGGTTCAACATCTAAAATTCCAGCGACAAGCAGATGCAGAATTTTTGAAATTTCCTAGCTTTTCAGCTTTTTTTTTGAATTTGTCCATATTTCCAGCCACCACGACACCAGCTCCATCAGCTGTAAGCGATCCATCAGAATCAGAAGACGAAGGTGAGACTCCATTTGATCAAAGTGCACTGGAAGGACTTTTTGAACAAGATGGAAGTGTAATTGACACTTCTTTGACAACTGACCAGACTCCAGCATTCCCAATTCTAAAAATGGCCGAAGAAGATTCGAAAATCCTCTCGAATATTCCCAAAAAGATGGTCACAGAGGTGTCGAGTACGTTAGAAAGCACTCAGGGAACGTCTGCTGCTACTGAGACTACTGTAGGGTGAGTTTAATTTTCTGAATTCCCGATTTTGGGTTTTTGAAATTCTAAATTTTCTGAATTTTTGAATTTCGGAATTTTAGAGCATTTGATTTTATCCAACTTCTCCATTTCTCCAGATCCACGGAAACCACACAAATTGCCTCATCTGAATCCACAATCCAAGAAACAGAAGCCACCACGCAATCAACAGAATCTGCGTCTGAATCCACGACGTCTTCAGAATCCACAACTTCCTCAGAAGACGTCACGACTTCCGAAGAAGAACTTTCAACGATTCCAGCTCTCAAAAATTCGTCAAAAGTGTTTCTACCAGCGAAATCTATTCGAACTCCAATCGTTTTTCGAATTTTGTCTTTGGAATTCACCGAAGAATTTAATGATATTCAAACTGGACCATCGAAGAAATTGGCAAAGGATTTGATACCTTCAGTGAGTTGAAGAAAGTTCGCTCTATTGATAATCTTTTGAAAATCAAGTTTTCCGTAGAGCGCGGTTGTTTTAGATGCTTTGAATTTCTATTTTAAAAGCATATTTCCTTATTTCGTTGGAAAAATTTGAATTTTGAAAAAACGATATTTTCTGAAAATTCCGAAATTCAAAGTTTCACAAAAAACGGAAAAAAATTTATAAGATAATCCGCAATTTTTCAAAAATTAGGAAAAAAATTCCATGTAATGAATTCAGATTTAACATAAAATTCTGGAAATTTGAAAATTTTGGGAAACATGTTTTTTTCAGAATTTTTTAGAACTTTCCTAGGGAAACTATAATTATATTAAAAAATTAAAATATCCAAAAGTTGCAGATCGCTGAATTCGTAAATTCCATTTCTGGCGATGGCAACTTTGTGAACATGGAAATCCGTACATTGACAAAGGGATCGGTTATCATTGGAGCAGATTTGCTGACCCGGAAATCATTGGGCGACGCTCAATTGGCTGTTGATTTGTGAGTTCTGGCGGAAATTTGAATTTATTTTTAAGTTTTTAAAATAATCCCTATTGTTGAAATGATTAATTTAATTTCAGGCAATTTGCAAAGTTATTGAATTCAAAAAATTCAACAACTCAGATTTTTTAAAACTTTTTAACTTTCAAAATTTCCAGATTGGAAGCCGCGTTTTCCCGAAACAACTCCATGATTGCTGACTACAAAATTGACACGTTAAGTATCACAATTGATGGTGATTACACCCTAATTAGGCCAATTAACTAATTAAGTTTTCAGGAATGACATCTCAAGCATACATTGATTCGATTTCCACACAAACGTCTTCATATTCCCTATCTTCGCTGATGATTGCAATTATCACTTTTGCGCTAATTATCATTTTTGGTCTGGCTCTTTTCATTATTATGGTTAGTTGAGGTCTTTCATTTAACAACAAAAAGAATATACGTCTTTTTAAAAGCCAAAAAAAAAAGTTGTCGGGTGCCGCGCTCGAACCCGCTTGGCGTGGGCGTGGGCATCAATTTTGAGCCCATATATCTTGCTTCCTGTGAAAGTTATCAAAAAGTAACCAATTAACAAAATGGTTATCATATTATAAAAAATATTTTGTTAGTTAGCCTCTTTTTGATATCTCTTTCAGTAACCAAGATAAATAGGCTCAAAGTTGAACGTTAAAAATTTATTACCATAAGCACTCCAATAAAATGCCCCCTTTTAACTTTAAGCTTAATTATCCCGATTTCTGTGAAAAGTATCAAAAAGTGATAAACTAACAAAATGTTTATCATAATATCAGCAACATTTTATCAGTTGGCAACTTTTTGATATGATTTACACAGGAACCAAGATAAATTAGCTCAAAGTTAAGGAACACTTGGGAGGGGTAAACTTACTTTAAGCGCAATTATAGCGCAATTATCTCGTTTTCTAAAACAGTTGTCAAAAGTAAAATTTTACACATTTTAATTAATTTTTTAATTAACAGATCACTACCAAACGACGACGTCAGTCAACAATGAAACTGAGCATGGATGATACAATTCGAAGCAGCACACCGGATTCAGATGACACGCCACATAACGTGCATTTGTGAGTCTTCAGCCAACTTTGAGCCAAAATATCTCGTTTTCTGTGAAAGATATCAAAACGTTGTCCATTGATAAAGCATTGCTGATGTAGTGATTAACATTTTATCAGTGGACTACTTCTTGATATCTTTAATATGAACTGAGTTAAACTGGGTTGAAGTTGGCGGGCCCTTCTCCTCTATGATAGAGGGATCCTTCAGCTTTGACCTTATATAACTCGGTTTCTGTGATAGGTATCAAAAAGTGATAAACTAATAAAATGTTTATCATAAAATCAGAAACATTTTATTAGTAGACAACTTTTTGATATATTTTACAAGAACCGAAAAAAATCGCCTCAAACTTTCCAGAATGTCCTACGGTACCACACCTCGTCCATCCTCTCAAAAACCGGGACCAATCACAAAAATGCAAATCGACGAGACTCAATCGCCTATGTATTGATTTATTGATTTTATTTTTCACATTTTCCCCAAATTTGACACTCATCTCATTTTCTAGGTTACCTCTTTTCTCTCATTTTTATTGGAAACTCGAGCTAAGCTCCGCCCCTTTATTTTTCTGGAAAATTCCAGGGTGACTTGCCATATCATTTTTCGTCGACATTCTAAGTTTTTTTATTGGAATAATTTTTCAAAAAAAAAAGCTTTTATTGCAAATACGCTCTATTTCAAAAAAATTCAAACAACTGGAATATCGGGAAGGCGATAGCCAAAAAGAAGAAAATCGAAATAATACATTTGTAGAATTTTTCGCAACAAATACGGACTGTTCAAAACCGTTTCCTCTACAGTAGCCCTTTCCACCGAATCCTGAGTACTGTGTGGAGTACGGTAGTGGAGGCTGGCGTCTGAAAAAAGATTTCAGTAGAGCGCATTTGAAGCTTCTGACATCATTTTGATGTGATGGAAGAGAACGTTTTCTAGTCCGCACATTCGAAATTTTTTGACGGGAACTTTAAATTTCAAAAAAATGCAACTCACTGATAAATTGAATCCCATCACTCTCCACCCCTCTCTCCTCCAATAATCCCAATATTTGATCCGTAAAATTGGGACCATCCAATTGTAAAATTTGATATTTCACCAGATGTGATGAAAATTCACATCTCCTGAAGACTTTTCTTTGAATTTTTTAGATTTTTTTTCTAGGTCATGACCCTATTTTTTCTAGGTCATGATCCAATTTTTCTAAGTCATGACCCAATTTTTCTAGGCCATGATCCAATTTTTCTAAGTCATGATTCAATTTTTCTAGGTCATGACCTAATTTTTTCTAGGTCATAGCCTAGATTTTTCTAGGTCATGACCTAGATTTTTCTATGTCCCAATTTTTTCTAGAAATTTTCGATCAAAAAATTTTTCATAGTTTTTGTTTTTAAAACAATCAATAAATATGTTAAAGTGCACATTTTTAACAGCAAAAATAGTCAGTTAGTCTAGTTATTGGCAGAAAACTCAAAAAAAATTTTCGAAAAAAATCCGAAAATTCCTGAAAATCGATAATTTAAACTTTTCGAAAAAAATTCGATTTTTCTGCAATTTTTCGTTCGATTTAGCTGTTTTTGCGCTAACAATTTGTATTTGAATTTTTTAATCAATTTTAAATGGAGTAAATTTTGAAAAAGGCGAAAACCGTGCAACCGCGCTCCACTGAACAAAACGGCTTGCAGTTCGAATTTCGAGTTACGGAAAGCGCGAAAAAGGCGAGAACATAATTTTTCAAAAATACAGTAGTTTTGGAAGTTCACTAGCTTTTAAAAAATCGAAAATATTGATTTTTAACCATAAACGGACCATTGACGGATCAACTCACCAAGATTGCGGAAAGAAATGGCTATCATCAAAATCGATTCCTTTATACGGATTTTTTGCAAACTTCATCATTCGATCATACATTTTATCGACGAAACATGTCAAATTCTGTAAAAAAAATCTAAATTCTGTATTTCCAATTTTCCAGATGTCCAGACTACTTACAGTTCGACACGAAGCACACCGACTTTTGTACTTTCTCCAAACTTTTTCTCTGAGACATTTATCTGTAAAACCGGACACAAAACGGTCGACTGGATTTCGAACAACAGCGAAAATTGACATTTTCTGCCATTTTTCAATTTTTTTGAGCTCTGTGAATTCGTTTTTGTCCTTGCACAGTCTGGAAATCATAGAATTTGCAAATATGATTTTTTTAGGAATTTCAGAAAATAAGATTTCAGAAAAATCTCATTAGTTAGAACTTGAATTTCCGATTTTTCAAATTTTCAAAATTTTCAAAATTCTGTAAAATTTGAATTTCTGGGGTTTCTGAATTTCTGAATATCTGTAAAATTTGAATTTCTGATGTTTCTGGATTTTGTGAATTTCTGAATTTCTGAATTTCGAATTTTCGAAATTTCATAATTTCATGTTTTTTCTCAAAATTTTAAACTTCCAAAATTTCGAATTTCTGAGAACTCTAGAAATTTTAGAGTTTTCTGAATTTCATTTTTCATAAATTTCAGGTTTTTTAAATGAACTTTTGACCATTTTTCATAAATTTTGGACTATTTCCTCACTAGAGCGCACTTGCTCCTCACCTCTCTCCATAAATATCCGATTCCAGTGTCCGATTACTCTCTCGAAAAGCTTTCTGATCGTGTAAGAAACACATAATCGCCGTTAAAAATGTCGAAAATGTCTTCTCAATGACACAAGCCACCAAATTATTCGGCCTCGATGTCTGCAATGGAGCGCATTTGCATTTGTTCTCAGTGGAGCGCATTTACCCTGTACAGTTGTTTGTATTTCATTAGTGGTGGAATACACTCTTTCAAATTGTCACCCCGACAAATTTCCAGAGAATTTTCTAGAGTTTTGTCTCGTAATTTTAAATTTTTCGGAAATTCTGGAGACGTGGAATTTTCAAAAATCTGTTTTTCAGAATTCACATAGCTACAGTAACCATGAAATTGGAATAAATTTGAATAGGCTAGAATGCAAGCGGTGAAAATGATAGCGAATAAAAGTTTTAGGTATCGATTCATTGGAATTTTCGAAAAAGTGAAATTTTTGAGAAATTTTGAAAAGAGAGAGAGAGAGAGAGAGAGAGAGAGAGAGAGACGCAGAGAAACAGAGAACCACAGTACCGAAAAACGGGATTAGCGGATTTGGAGATTTTCATCTTTTTTTTTTGATTTTGGTACTGTTTTTTTTTCAGTAATTCAGGAGTTTCAAGTTTTTAGGAAACCATGAAATTCAGAATTTCAAGAATTCGGGACAAAATTTCCACTGTGAAATTCAAAAAATCCGAAAGTTCTAGACCAACAATTGTAGAAATTTTAAAAAAAATTGTTTTTTTTTGTATTTTTGAAATATTTCTGAAATTCAAAAATTGGATTTTCCAGATTTTGCGATTTATAACTACCTAAATTAATTTCGAAATTTAAAATCGAAATTTCAGAAAATTCGAAAAATCAGAATTTTAGATAACTTTGAATTTTTAGATTTTTTCTGAAATTCATATAAAATACTGGACCAAAATTATAGGGAGGTAACCTTTTATTATCTGAATCGTCACTGTTCTAATATGTGGCGGTTCTGAAAAGTCGCGGTTCTAAAACGTCACGGTTCTGAAATGTCGCAGTTCTAACATGTCGCGGCTCCGAAACATTGCGGTTCTGAAATGTCGCAGTTCTATATCGTTTCTGTTTTGAAACAGCCCAGTTCTGAAAAGTCACGGTTCTGAAATGTCGCTGTTCTATAACGTTTCCGTTTTGAAACAGCTCAGTTCTGAAACGTCACGGTGCTGAATTGCCGCGGTTCCGAAACGTCAAAAATCGGAAATTCAGAAATTCCGAAAATTCAGAAAAATCAGATTTTCAGAGAAATTTAAATTTTTGGAACTGCTTGGGAAATTGATTTTTCTAAAAATCCGAAACTGTTGCTAACAAAATCTGAAATTTCAAAAAAATTAAAAATCTTAATTTCGAAACTTTTCTGAAATCTTCAAAAATGAGATAAACGAAAATTCCAAATTGGAATTTCCTGGAATTTCTCGATTTCAGGAAAACAAAAAGTCCCAAGAAGTTTCAAAATTTAATAAAAAAAGTTTTGTAAAAATATCCAAAAAAATAGAATTTCGGGAAAAATGAAAACTTTATTTTCAACAAAAAAAAATGTAGAAAAAAGTAAATCTGACAAAATTGGTAAATTGCACAAAAAAAGGAATTCAACTGATTCTGGGGGGGGGGGGCGGGTGGACAAAAAAAATTTACCCGCGAAAATGAAATTTTAAAATTTTCCAACAAAAATTTTTAAGAATCAAAGCTAAGAAAAAACTTTGAAACTGGGAAATTCGGCTTAAAAACGCCAATTTAAAAAAAACAGAAAAAAAAAGGATTTTTCAAAATTTTGGGAAAAGTAGAGAAAATTAAAAAAAAAACGATTTTTTTTTCACAAAAATGGCATCCATCCAAAGAACATTCTAGACAGATTATCCGATGACGTGGCGTCTCTCAGAAGACGTCGAATTTGAAGATTCGACGATTGGGCGGTGACACCGTCGTCCGTGCCGCGTAGCTTGTCTCGAAGACGACCGATCGCCATTTCGGAGATGTACGATGGGCGGCCGGATGATTGCTCAGCTTCACGGAAATTCGACATTGTCTCACGGAGGATAGCTGACGCGACGCCAAGGATTACCTGGAAATTTTGAAAAATGTGCGGGCGGGAATTTGAAATTTTTGAAAATCGGCGTCTAGGCCACTGGATTCAATTGTTTGGGTTTCTAGGTCATATTTCTTAGGCCATAAATTCTAGGGTTTCTAGGCCACCAAATCAAATTTTCCTGTTTAGGGATTTCTAGACCATGTTGTCTGTCTGTCCGCTTGTCCAGATGTCCCTAACCTTATTATTCTCCTTCAACTTCTCCATAATCTTGGTGCAATCCTCAGCCAATCGTCCATTCTCGATGCCTTCAATCAATAATGGATCCAAAACGTCTCGGGTGATTCGAAACGGTACTTGTTCGGGCACTGGCAACGATCGTTTACTGTACTCCAGAATCATACCTACAAGAATAAACAAAGGGGATTGGGCGGGAAATTTGAATTTTTGAGTTTCCCAAAATTCCAATCCCTCACCCAAATCAATATGCACAAAAGTGCACTCTTTCTGATCGAACAATATGTTCGACGCGTGTCGATCGCCGAGTCCAACCATGTAGCAAACTGGAAAAATCGATTTTTTGAGCAAATGCGCTCTAATGACAAACTCACCAACACTCCACGTGGCAAGACTCTGTCGATAGGTGTCGATTTTTTGGCGCCAAATCTGAGCAGTAGGGAATTGGCGGTAGAAGAAGTGTCTGGAGAGAAATTTCGCTCTTTTGTTAGATATCGATGGAGCGCACTTACCTGAAAACTGGGGAATATTGCTGACAGACTTCCACAAAGACGCGTCGTCGCATTTCAGACGTATCCGATTGAACCTCTTTCATCATTCGAGACGCTTGTGTGGCCGATGGTTCGTGCGAGCACATTTCTTTGTGAAGACCACCTTCACGATTCGTTCCACACAGGAGTTCTTCTGGAAAAGAAGGGAGTGGTTCGGCGCGAAATTTGAATTTCTAGGTTGGCTATAAGGGGTCTAGGTCACCAAGAAGATGGGTTTCTAGGCCACTAAACTCCTAGGGTCACTGTTTTGGGGCTTCTAGGTCTTTGAATCATCAATGATGGGGTTACTAGGCTATCTGTGCAGTTTTCAAGTCGTTGTAGTGGAATTTCTAGATCACCAAACTAGATTTCTAGTCCATGGTTTTCTAGGCCATCTGTATGAGTTTCTAGGTCATCAATGGAAGCTCAGGGACGAACCAATCTAGGGTTTCTAGGCCATCATTCCTCGAGCACCACAAATGGATTTCTCGGTCATCGAATTCTAGGCCACCAAACTGAAGTTTCTAGGCCACCAGACTAGATTTCACGGCGCCACGAATTTCTTCGGCCATCTGTGAGACTTTCTAGACCGCCAATGAAATCTGGATTTCTAGGCCATCAGCCGTACAGCTGTCAAACCGCTCTGAAATGGGATTTCTAGTTCACCAAGTTCCGTGGTCATTTTCTAGGATAGCAGTAGATTTCTAGGTCACCCGTTTCTGAATTCCTAGGCCACCAATGGAAGCTTCTATCTACGCATTCCTGAGCCATCTGTCTAGTACCTAGTCGGATTTTTAGGCCATTTTTACGTGTTCCTAGGCTACCAATGGAACATTCCATAGCTGAATTTCTAGGTCATCTAGTGTCTTTATGTATTTCTAGGCCACCAAATCGCATTTCTAGGTCATACATATGGCTTCCTAAGCCACAAAAACGGATTCAACGACTACCAGTTTCCCAGGCCATCCACAAACATTTCTAGTCCATGCCACACTCACTCAAACTAACACTTCCTCCACAAAACTCGATAATTCCGCATTCGGTGTCCAACGGAACGACATTATACGTCCGCAGCGTCCGTTTCTCCAGCATATTATTCGTGACGTCGAACATTTGCTCGACGAGCACATCCTGACGAACGTCTTCTTTTTTCCAGACGCTTTTGTACCAGCGGCCGTCGGATCCTTGAATTTCCCAGATTATTGGCGAGGAGAGGCCGTCGGCAAGCAAGAAGACGTCCTTGTAGGATCGCCATGTGATCAGGTTGGAAGTGGAGAGGTCGCCAGGTGCGCCGATCTGGAAGGATTGGGGAGTTTTGGGTTCCTGGATTACTGGATTCCTGGATTCATGGATTCTAGGATCGTGAGATTTGTGGATCTTAGGATCTCCGGATATAGGGGTTTTAAGATTCTTAGATTCCTAGATTTCTAGATTCCTTGGCCTCTAGCTTCTTAGCTTCTTAGATTCTTAGATTCTTAGATTCTTAGATTCTCAGATTCTTCAATTTGTCGATTATCGATTATCGATTTTGTACCTTTTGCGATATTGTTGGAATTGGTAGCTGATCCAATTTACACTTAAAAATCTTCAAATCCCTTGGCCACACGAGCATCGTCTTTCCATCACGCTCTACTCGCTGAATTCGAATGTTCTCCTTGACTTGTAGTTTTGCGATTTCTCTGGAAATTTGGAAATTTGGCACCGAGCCAATTTCGGACGCGGCGCGTGTCGGTGTAGCGGTTGTCAGGTAGCGACTCGCTTAAGACGCCTTAAAGGGTTCTTTGAAAATTAAAAACAGCCAAATTTTACGAAAGTGCGCTCCATCGCACTTTTTTTTAGGTCGGCCGGAAATTTGAATTTTTGCAACAAAAAAAAACATTTTTTGATAAATTTTAGGTGAATTTCAGTCGAGTTTCAGTCATTTTTAATAATTTTTCCATACTTTTTGGTGAATTTTCATAAATTTTGGACCATTTTTCATGAATTTTGGACCATTTTTCATGAATTTTGAGCCATTTTTCATAGATTTTTGACCATTTTTCGTGAATTTTGGACCATTTTTCATGAATTTGGACCATTTTTTCATGAATTTTGGACCATTTTTCATCAAATTCGGACGATTATTAATGGACATTTTTTCCGGATTTGGACATTTTTTCCGGAATTTTTGGACATTTTTTCCGGAATTTTTGGTGAATTTTCATGTAATTTGCACTATTTTTTCAAAAATTTTGGATAATTTTTCACGGATTTCGGACCATTTTTCCACAATGTTTGGTGAATTATTATGGATTTGGCACCATTTTTCATGAATTTCCGAGCATTTTCCCATCGATTTGAAGCTCATTTTAAGCCAATTCCAGGTATCCTAACCTATAAGCCACGTGCGCCTCTCTCATCATCGCCACCACTTCTCTCAGCTTGTCCACATCTCGTTTCGTCTTCACCGAATAAATGTTCCGTAGGAATTCCCTCACTTGTGCTCCATTCTTATCAAACTCATACATTAGAATTGTATGCAGTACGTGATAGGGATAATCGTACACCAAATGACACAGGATTTGAGACAAATATCGAGAAATTGGCGTTTTTTCGATGGCGAAACATTTTGAAGCCAGGTGCGAAGTGGCGCACAGCCATAGCTTAGAGGGGAGAGCCGTTTTTGAGTGGTCTGGAAAAAAATTTAATTAGGAATTTCTGAAATTTGGAATTTACCCTTGAGAGCCTCGACGACACCTGGATCCGTTTCGTATTTGTAGATGACGTCAATCAGTGGGAAGACGATGAGCGAGGAGGTACGAATCGCTTCCTCGTCGTCTTCCAGTTGACTGATGCATGCTGAAAATGTTTTAATCCAAAGTTTAAGTTTGATAAGCTCGGAAATTGAAAAATTCTCAAATTCGAAAAATCTGGAAATTCTTGAATTTCAATTTCTTAAAAAAATTTTAAAAATTGAATAATCAATAAATTCTGGATCGTAATCAGAAGTAGAATTCAAAACAAAATTTTCCAAAATTTCGGAATTTTTTTTCACAAAGCTGTACGATTGGGAGAATTGGAAAATATGAAATTTTGTAAAAAATTTCAAATATTGCAGAATTTCTAAATTTCAGAATTCCGAATATTCAAAAACCGAGAAGTTAAAAAATTCGAAAAACTCAGGAATTACAGATTTTTCGGAATTTTTGAAATTCTGAAATTTAGAAGTTCTAGAAAAGTCCAAATTGTAAAATTTTCAAAAACTAAAATTTAAGAAATCCCGAAATTCAGAGTTCAGAAAATTTCGTACGAAATAGGGTTATAAGTTTCTGATCGATTACTGTGTCTCCTAGGATTACTGTACCCGCTTTTTTTTGAAAATATCTCTCTTTCATGTCTCAACGGATGATTGGCGGCTCAGCGGCGACTGAGTTACAGTCTGCCAAAAAACAGGAATGCAAAGGATTACTGCACCTCTTCCTCCCAAAAAAAAGTGAAATCTGCGTTCGGGGGG